GGCAGGGGTGAGGCAGGGGGTAGGGGAACCAGGCCAGACAGCGAGCACGGGGCTCAGACCATGGCAAAACCAAGTGCAGCCCAACCACCTACAAACAGACCAACAGCTGACCAGCAGGACAGTAGTGAACATCTGGACACACTGGGTATGTTCTCACCCTCCCCCTCCAGGCCCGACTCCTGCCCTGATTCCCCTTGACTACCTAGAGGGGCTTGGGCCCTTTGCTCACAAGCAACCTGGTTCAACAAGCATCGTACAGGGTCCTGGCTGTGGGCAGAAAACAGAGGACAGAGCGGCTACAGCCCTGAAACTCCCCCACCCAGTACCACCCAACCCCTGCCCCCAGACGGTCTAACAATGTCAGGGGCACCAGGCACCCCAGGTCTGAGGGCATCCCTACCACCCTCAGGTGGGCACCCTAGGGCCCAGCCCCCACACAGTCCCACTGCAGGCTCCCGCTGTGCAAAAGCCCTTGGGGCATCCAGAGCAGGCGCCAGCCTGCAACCAGCAGGAAGCTCATGAGGCTCTGAGAGCCAGCAGGTGCCCACCTCCGTCCCGGTTCCCAGTCTTCATCTGCCCTTTCCCTGTGTGCACCGTGCAGCCAGCAGAATGGGGGTGGGGCAGAAACTAAAAATAGCATGGCCGGGCCCAGGAAGGTAGCTGAGCCTCCCTCATTCCAATACCTCGGGCCTTCTGCCTGCTTCTGGAAGGCTAGGGGACAGGAGAAGGCCACCCTAGAGTGGTGACCACTGAGGGCTACATGCTCAGCCAGACCCAGGCTCAGACCCAGGCCAAGGCCACCTCTCCGAGGCTCTCCTTCCCAGAGATGAGGGGTGGACATGACGGCACCTCAGACATCCTGCAGGTGAAGCCCAGGCCCACCCTTGGCCCAGCCCCACACTTACCTGGGGGCTGCTGGTGCCAAAGCCCAGGGTGGGTGTGGTGGGCACGGACATGGAATGGGGACCCATGGGGGAGCTGATGACCGAGAAGGGAGGGCCCATGCCGTTGATGGGGGAGCTCAAGGTGCTGATAGGCGAGTGCAGCTGTCCTGGGGAGCCGAGCGAGGAGCCGATGCCAGGCCCCAGGGAGGGGTGCAGCGAGGGGGCAGCCATGGAGCCACGCCCCGTGGGGGAGTTGAGGGACGAGGAGTTCACCTGGGTGGAGAAGTCTGCAAGACAAGAATACCCAGGAGGAAAGTCAGAAACCCACACCGACTGGCATGCCACCCCCTTGGCCAGAGACCGCAGGGGGCCATACAGTGGGGAGAGCCAGCCCAGGGCAAGGCCCCAGGCACCCCCCGTCCCAGGGGCTCACCGACAAAAATTCCCCAAAATACAGGCCAGGCCAGGCAGCGGTGCCCCAGCTCCCTCTGAGGCACCCCCCCCCC